GAAGGCCCCACCTAAAATCTTATGAACAATTTTTTTTTTGTGGATGAAATTTGAGTTCGGTTCAATAAATAAAAGACGAATGGGACACATAAGAAGTCGAGTTAAAAGGACGAAATGTTCTACAGAAATGTTATCTTAAAAAGTCAGTACAATAGCTTCAAATCAGGATATGCATCAATCTCTTTATTTATAATATGGTACCCAGCAAAACATTAATCTCCGAACGAATATTTCCTTCTAGGGTATTCACATACTCACCACTATGAGCTTTCAAACCCCAGATCATGACCTCGATTTTGTCTCACAGTTTAATTTTTATCGAATTTCGTAGATACCAAATAATAGCTAAAAAAATTAAAAAAAAAAATCCAAAATTTTTTGGAAAACTATAAAAATGTTCCAATTAATACGCCATTGTCTACGAATCCCATAGTATTTCATATGCTCAAATCAGGCGAAAAGGTACAGTGATGATTTGTTTTTCTTTGTCTTCTGCAAACTCATTCTATATAAAATAAAAATAAATGAATACAACGATTTAAACATTTGATGATGTATGCCATTTGTTGGAATATATTATACCTATTCTTTGCAAAATTTGCGTCCTCTTTTTCTACTTTTATAAGATTCTAGCACAGAAAATCTTATATTTGCGAATAATCAAAAATTTAAAAAGTTTTCTGAACTACAATACATCAACGTTCAGAAAACTTTTTAAATTTTTGAGTATTCGCAAATTTAAATTTTTTGCGCTAGGATCTTGTAAAAGTAGAAAAAGACGATGGAAACATAAGAATATCGATTTTTGACATAAGGGCTCTATTAAAATATCTTCTTGTGATATTTAATTTACAGCTCAAGAAAATATGGACGAAAAATACGCACCAGATTAGGGATAAGTAAATCGACTTTCGGTTAATCGACTTTTTGTATTGAAAAGTCTGAAAGTCGAAGTCGACTTTTGATCTTTGAGAAAATCGCAAAGTCGACCTTTCAAAATCGACTTTCGATCTTCTTCAAACATACTTGGTTTATTGTCTCAAATTACTCAAAATTTACACATTCTAAAACATTATTTTTAATTAAAAAAAATTAGTCCATTTGGTATTTGTCGTTAAAAGTTGAAAATCGATTTTGAATAGGGTTGACAACATCGAAAGATCGAAAAGCCGACTTTTTAGTTAAAGGTAAAAATCGACTTTTTGGTCAGCGGCAAAAATATAGAAGAGAATATGTTTTCAAAAATATTCCTGACTTTTGTGAGGTAGTTATCAGAGATTATGAACTTCGATATGGATATATGGTTAGTTTAAATATAAAATTCTGCATAGTTTAGACTCCGAAAGATTCTCCATTCGCTTTATATTATGTATTCGCTTCATATGAAATTTTAAATTATTCAACATGTTCCCCCTATTGACGGGGGTACCAAAAGGTGTAGACTGATAGTTCCCATCTTCAGCATTGATCTGAGTTTGGTGAAATATTAGAATCTGCATTCAACGGATCAAATCGGACACTCCATCAGCTTCATATGAAATTTCAGAATTTTGAAAATTTGCTTCGTGGAAAAAGCGGAGAGAGGTTTGGTAAAAATATTACGAAGTGAATTTGACATATTAACAAAACACAATATCAGACTGTTGTCCTGGCCTTCATATTAGGTTTACTTGGAATATGCAATTTGAATGAGCATATGATTCGGAAAAGAATAATGTGTCCATCAAACATTATATTAGGATGGGGAAAAATAAATAAATTATAAAAATGTCAATAAAATCAGATAAATAATCGAAGTTTACCGGCATTTTAACAGTCGACGATAAAACTGTTTTAGACCATTTACACATAGCTGGATTAACAGAAAACAGAAAACAATTGGATGGATCGAATTTTCATCTGCGAATCCTTGGCCAAATGGAATGAGGTAGACCCATTTCTTAAACGGATAGTGGCTGGAGATGAGAAATGGATCACATACGATAACCCTGTGTGAAAACGATCGTGGTCAAAGAGCGGTGAAGCACCTCAAACGGTGGCCAAACCAGAACTAACGGCCAGGAAGGTTCTGCTATGTATTTGGTGGGACTGGAGTGGGATTATTTATTATGAGTTGCTTTCATATGGCCAAACGGTAAATTCTGATCTCTACTGTCAACAACTGGACCGTTTGAAGAAAGCGAGAGCAGGACTTCTATGAGAGTGGCATTATGAAGGTACCTTTTAAATGGCAACAAATCATACAACAAAATGGTGCATATTTGGATATTCAAATCGGATATTCTGAAGCATGTTAAATTGTTCTTACAAAAATAATCGATTTCTTTTTCCCCAACCTAATATATACGTTCGGAAAGTAAAGAGTTTTAATATTTTGTCTCTATTGCTAATAAAAGTTTCTAAAAAAAGTTTCGAAGCATTTTTTATTTTCATTGCCTATTGTCAAATGCAGATACGCGTGAAATATATGCAAATAGGTAAGAGGACATGATCATCAAATTGTTGTTATTGAAAAGTAATTATCCTGAAGATAAAAATTCTTCTTCCTCAAGCTAAAAATAAAGTTCACCGGGATAATCATTACACAAGTATTTGTTTATGTTTTCAAAATGATCCAAACATGTTTTGTGTATATACTGGGACTTCTAAACATAAAACCCTAATAAAATCAATCGAATTTAGTAAATTTCGATAATTTTTGTACTAAGTAATTAGAACTTTTAATTATCTTCCACCACTAACAGACAGTGTTAATATAAATACGATCTGGGTCATCAAATGTTCAGTTGCCAGCTAAACCTTTATCGCGCCAAAATTTTTTCCTCTGGGTTTTTAATATAGCCGCAAAGGGGTTTGAATCCCGATGAGGAATTTTCTATCCCTCCAAAATATTTTTGCATTTTTGAATCACATATTGGTATTGCAATTAGTTTCAAATATAAAAACCTGTCTATTTTTGCAGCTTCCATAAATGAAATAAAATATAATACTCGTCAGTTCGTAAGTGTGTTGCAACTACTTGTCAGAAAGCAGTACGAAATGTCTATACACCGAATTAATTTAAAAGGATGCCTCTTTCCAGGATTTTACTTACAAAACACCTTCTTCTAAATTTCTTTTGGGTCTAAAACTTTAACTTTGTTATTTGTATTACCTCAATCAAAATACCACAAAATCAAGTGAAAGGTCAGACCCGCCGAATTTCATATATAAATTTTACTTATTTAATGTGTGTTTATGTGTCAATGGCGTGGTGAAACGAGGTGCATAGGGTTTGCGTGTGCTGGAGGGGCTAGAGGTTTCGGCTGCATCATGGACTGGTGTGCCAGTTCTAGTTGTTTCCAACAACAACACTTCTTTCTTGTGTGCAGCATCAACAGTTTCTTCAGGTTCGACATTTATCCTTGTGGTACTGGTGACAGTCTTCTTTTCAATTGTCACTGAAGCTGAGCCGGACATATCTTGAGTAAGACTTTGGGCCACACTGTCGTCATCGGTCATGTCTTCGAGATCCAATTCGGAGGTGGACAAGCCCAAGAAGGCAACGCTGTTCGAAACATCAACGGGGTTTATGGCGGCCACCTCTACCTTACCTGCTGTTGCGGTGCTCATTTTCTTGATGGTAAGCGAGAAACAAAGTTGTCGTCATCACCCTTAATGGGTGTACCATTCAAGGCCCATTCTACGGTGACCTGGGGTTTGGCCTTAATAACAACTTCCAACTGGACAGTTTCGCCAAGTTCGGCTGTTTGATCTTGAATTTGCTTTACAAATTCCAAGTATTGTTCCTCTTCTTCTTCGACTTCTTCCTCTTCAACTTCTTCGACCACTTCTTCTTCTTCCTCATCTTCGCCAACATCCTCGACCACAACTTCTTGTATTGTGTATATAACATTCTACTAGTTGGCGCATGTGATTTCTGCTCTCTTTTACAAAAAAAAAATGAACTGTTTCTAGAACCTGGCATACCCTCAAAGACTGATTTTAGTTTTTATGCATATGTACGAATTTAACTACGTATATCTACCGAATATCATTCTTTCTAAAAATATTCATAGGTTTCAGTTGGTTATATTGATATATACTTAATTTATAGGATTCACTTAGTACGTTACGAAGTTTCACACACTTAAATCGGTTTAAAAATTTGCATATGTATTGATAACATTTAATTTTTTTGTTTCTGTAATAATACAATGACCCCACACTGCCTCTGATATGATATCTATTAAAACACTTTGTATAATAATTCACATTAAAAAGATGGCTAATGGAAGTGATGACATGTTCCATAAATTGTTCGAATTTTTCTTTTCGTTCTTTTTTTTCCCACACAGAACACGTCCTATATTAGATAGATTCGACGATTGATTATTCAACTAAGGTTGATCAGTTTCGCTTTTGTCTCTTACAATAAATACAAAATTCTAATTAGCTTCCACTCATTTCCATGGGGCCGGATACATTTATATGCCAACGATTTTAATGCATATCCAACAAGTTGTTATTGGCAATACAACAAAATCCGAAAAAAATCTATAGCAAAATAAAAACAAATCAGAAGTGGAGGTAGAGAAATGAGTGTTTTTTGCTTTTTTCATAAAAATATACATATATGTTTTTCAAGCAATATTGGAAAAATAACCCAAATACAAACATCTTCCATGGTGAAGAAACCGAATTTTCTCTATTGCAGAAATTCACCATAGTGAAGATCACACATCGTAAAATATTGGCGAGATCGAAAATATACTCAACACACACGATGGATGTGGGAACAAACATGTACGGATATCGACGCACACACACACACGCACACTAATTCATTCATCCATTTTTCATTTTTCTGCTCGCTCGTCGCTCACTCTTTCACTCACTAACCCACACACACACACACACACACACATGTAGCGTGAAAATTTTCGTACAAATGATTTCATACTCAAAACTCACCATTACTCATTGGTTTCTAATGATTTTTTTTGGCAAACTATTTTCAGTATGAATACGGCCGCGTAACGCTCATAATACCCCAAGCTTATCCAAACGACGCTGGAGTCTATGTACTGACAGCTAAAAATTTAGCAGGTGAAGCTTATAGTTCGTGTAACGTGATTGTCAAAGGACGTCTGCCAAACGAGACGTCCGATTCGGAAATGGCTTCGGATATGGAACCCGTCAAGCCAACGGTACAGTTGTCGCTTAAAGATGTCTCGATTGTCGAGGGTAAACCAGTTCGTCTCGATTGTATAATTGTGGGCCAGCCCGAGCCCGAAGTGATTTGGTATCACAACGAAAGGCCCATCAAGGAATCGGCCGATTTGAAATTGCTCTTCCAGGGTGACAAGTGTTCGCTCGTCATCGAGGAGGCATACCAGGATGATGCTGGCAACTACAAAGTGGTGGCTATTAATTCGGCGGGTGAAGCTACAAGCAGCTGTGAGGTTAAGATTGCACCATCTGCCGAATCGGAAACTGCCTCAGTAGCCGAGTCGGAGACGAAAAAAGAAGAAGAGGTGGTGACTGAGGAAAAGGTGACCAAAACAGTAACCGTTGAAAAAGAAACGGCCGCTGTCCAAGAAGTTGTGGTCGAAGATGTTGGCGAAGATGAGGAAGAAGACGCCCAAGAAGAAGAAGAAGTGGTCGAAGAAGTTGAAGAGGAAGAAGTCGAAGAAGAAGAGGAACAATACTTGGAATTTGTAAAACAAATTCAAGATCAAACAGCCGAACTTGGCGAAACTGTCAAGTTGGAAGTTGTTATTAAGGCCAAACCCCAGGTCACCGTAGAATGGGCCTTGAATGGTACACCCATTAAGGGTGATGACGACAACTTTGTCCTCTCTTCCAGTGGAGACAATTTCTCCCTTACCATCAAGAAAATGAGCACCGCTACAGCAGGTAAGGTAGAGGTGACCGCCAGAAACCCCGTTGGTGTTTCGAACAGCGTTGCCTTCTTGGGCTTGTCCACCTCCGAATTGGATCTCGAAGACATGACCGATGACGACAGTGTGGCCCAAAGTCTTACTCAAGATATGTCCGGCTCAGCTTCGGTAACAATTGAAAAGAAGACTGTCACCAGTACCACAACCCAATCTGAGGTTAGGTCATCGAATGCCGAACCTGAAGAAACTGTTGATGCTGCACCCAAGAAAGAGGTGTTGTTGTTGGAAACAACTAGAACTGGCACACCAGTCCATGATGCAGCCGAACCCTCTAGCCCCTCCGGCACCCGCAAGCCCTATGCACCTCGTTTCACCACGCCCTTGGCCGGTAAAATCGTCGATCAAGGCGCTGATGTCAGCATGGAAGCCGTCATTGATGGTTTCCCCTCACCCGACATCAAGGTCGAAAAGAATGGCTATGATTTGCCTCAAAATGGTCGCATTACTGTCGAAAAGAACAGCAACCATGTCACCATTGACTTTAAGGATGTTAATCATTCGGATGCTGGCCGCTATGCCGTCACCGCCAGTAATGTAGCTGGCCAAGCAACAAGCACCGCCGATTTGATTGTCAAAAGTAAGTAAATGATATGAATTCTCGAATTGTGTAGATGTATGGGTGGTTGGTTTCGTGATGATGATGGTGGTGGTGTGCTGTGGTGCTGGTCCCACTGCTGCATAAATCAACCAAAGTATATTTTTTGCTGTATATTTAGAAGTTTATAAATATTTAGAAGAAAACAGAAGCAAACAAAGCAAAAAAATAACACAGCGACAGGCAAATAAATTTCTATGCCAGAACATGTAGGAGGAGTAGAGTGGCCAGCTTTCATCCTATATGTACATTTATATATGAAATATTGTTGTGGTAAATATATATCAACGGAAAATATATATGCCGATTTTTTCGTTTTGCTTGGCATTGTGTGTTTATGCTATAGCCCAGATGAACTATTAGCAAATGTTGAGAAAATACAAAAGAAATACAAGAATTTTTCTTTTAATCTTTGAACACATAAAAAAAGCAAAAGCAGCAGCACTTCTGACGTCCCGCAGTCACGTTAGTACTTTAGACAAGTGTTAATCGTGAACATGAAAATAATTCTATTCTTGTTTCGTACAAATGGATGGGGATGTTAATGAAAATCCTAGGTTGTTAGTTGTTTTCTTTTTCGTTTATTGTTTTTGTACAGATATGTCAAAACGTTGGTGGAATGGGGAATGGTGGGTATGGTGGCACAAAAGTTTATTTGTTTCTAAAGCCACCTGTTGGTAGATGTAAATCGGTGTGACCGTTTTATTGCGACATATAAATCGATTTCTGGAAATAATAACCATTAAATTTAGGTAAACAGATCAAATATTTACCGGCTCAAACACTTGATGATAAAAATATAGACTCATTAAACCCATTTAAAAAACTGGCATTAATTTGATACTCTTAATATAGACATTGAAAACTTGTTTTTCATCCATGGTGCAAGCCCGGAAGGGTTGACATCTCCCTACCCAATATTCCCAAGATAATACTGACCCTTAGCATTCCCAGTAAAAGACATTCCACCCATTAAAGTATGTTTTGTCATTCTTTGACGTGCACTTCCGCATTAATTCTTAGCCTTCTCTCTTTTGCAAATATTCTCACTTCTTTCACAATTTAGTAGCACTTTAATATGTTGTGACCTGAATCATAGTATATATCTGAAGTCTGGGTCAAGATAAAACTTCCCATTGAGCTCATAGATTGTAATTTAAAATCAGCAAACATTATTTAAAGTGTCTACCAGCTACGAGTAAGTAATCCTTAGCTTTGTTTGGCATCTTGCACACAGGGACATGTAAATTAGAAGAGCTGATTCTATTATGTTTGGACTTCCTAAATTTATGTCAGGCCCTTAACATCGGGAATCCATGAATAGTAATAAATTTTTAGGCCAGACTGGCAATGGAAAGGTCTACCAAGTGAAACAGCAAAGAATGCGGTTCATTTCCTTATCCCTATTGAATCCTTTTCTCATTTTATTGTCCAAAATCATCATAGACTTCGGCAGACATCTTTCTAGGCTCAATTCAGTACGTTATGCCAAATTTCGTGCAAATCGAAGGATATATATGGACTTTGGTGCACCATTTACATGAAATCGGACGAAACTATATATGGGAGCTATATCTAAATCTGGACCGATTTTCTCGAAACTTGGCAGACATCACTCTAGGCTCAATTCAATACGTTATGCCAAATTTCGTGCAAATCGAAAGATATATAGGGACTTTGGTGCACCATTTACATGAAATCGGACGAAACTATATATGGGAGCTATATCTAAATCTTGACCGATTTTCACGAAACTTGGCAGACATCATTCCAGGCTCAATTCAGTACGTTATGCAAAATTTCGTGCAAATCGAAAGATATATAGCGACTTTGGTGCCCATGTACATGAAATTGGACGAAACTATATATGGGAACTATATCTAAATCTGGAGCGATTTTCTCGAAACTTGGCAGACATCATTCTAGGCTCAATTCAGTACGTTATGCCAAATTTCGTGCAAATCGAAAGATATATAGCGACTTTGGTGTACCATTTACATGAAATCGGACGAAACTATATATGGGAGCTATATCTAAATCTGGACCGATTTTCACGAAACTTGGCACACATCATTCTAGACCTAAATGATTAGGCTGTACCAAATTTCGTGCAAATCGAAAGATATATAGGGACCGTTTACATTAAATCGGTTAAATATATATATGGGAGCTATATCTAAATCTGAACCGATTTTTCCCAATTTCAATAGGGTTCGTCCTTGGGCCAAATAAGTGACCTGTGCCAAATTTCATTCAAATCGGATCATAAATGCGACCTGTACTTTGTTTACAATTTAACATCTACAGACGGACAGACGGACGGACGGACGGACATGCATAAATCGACTCAGAAAGTGATTCTATGCATATTCTCAAAAGGAACCATGTGTCTATCTCGTTTCCTTTTGCCTGTTACAAACATATGCACAAAGACATAATACCCTGTACCACAGAGTGGTTAAGGGTATAAAAAATGTTCAGCACAAATCTCCCATTTCTCCTATTTATTCAAGCCATTTCGTTCCAAAAAAAATCTCCCTTCGAATTTAGCAATGAAGTAGTGTCAATATTCAAAGGACGCTTAGGTCAGCTTGACCCTTCGCCTTTGTGCCTCCAGGAAGTTACTTCGTTCAGGGTTTCGCTTACTCACTTATTCCTTCCTTCTTCAACCATAGATATCTCGAGGTTTTCACAGCGGCTATATCTTCGTTGCTATCCCTATATTTTCTAATGGTCATTAGGATTGTAGAATTACTTTGAGAAGAATATGCCACTTTAACATTAAATATAGCAGAATATATTTAATATCGTAGTGGTGTCAGGAACAAATTTTGGAAATTTCAAGATTTTAAATACACTTTTCTTATTATGATTTTTTAATTTTTCATTCAGTTTTTAACAACTCGAAATATTTGTCGGAATCCTCCACATAACAAAAGAATTCTATGTGGATTTATTCATGCTACTAATATTATGACTCTTGGTACAGAAAATGGTCCCACAAAATCTTATCGGACCATATTCGATATTTTAAAGGTTTTAACCACAATTTGCAACTGAGTTGAATATTCGAAAAATAAGCAAAATTGATTAGCCCCCATATCAACGTCTCGATTAATTTTAAGAATTTTCGGAGTTCTAGGCTCAGTTCCGAACCGAAGCTGTCTTTAGTTTTTCGATATTTTGAAGATTTTAACTAAATTTTGCATTCGAATTGATTATTCGAAAAAAGCAAATTTTTTTTAAAATAGGTCCATGTCTCGTTTCATTTTAAATCCTAGGCTTAGTTCCCAACAGAATCTGTTGTTTTTTTAGTTTTTCGATATTTTGAAGATTTTAACCACATTTTGCCATCGAATTGAGAATTTGTAAAATATGCAACATGTTATTTAATTTAGATCCGTGCTTTAACTAATCTCCCTATCAAAGTCTCAGACCATTTTAAGTATTTCTAGAGTCCTAGGATCAATTCCCAACAGAAGTTATTATTTCTTGTTTTGAGTAAAAAAAAATTTTTGCAGAAAATATCCCATCAAATTTTAAGTATTGCGATGGTTCTAGGCGCATTCTCATGAACGGATGTAAATAAGCATTCGGAGTTTTTGGTAGGCAAAAAATTTCTTTCTAGAAAATATTCTATGTAAGGTCATAAGGGTTATCAATTTTAAAATCTGTAATTTAGTACTGCATTTTCTTAGGAACTAAGACCCATCCTGTGTCCACTAATTGGCATAGCTCTGATAGGAAAGACTAGACCTATTTTTGGTCTCTTGGATACTCACTTCATGGTGAAGGGTATAAAAGATCTGCCTGTGGAAATATTCAAAACAAAATTTACAAATCATTGGTGAGCCGCATAACTACGCCGGAACATTATTTATAACAGATATCTATTCCAAAAAATATTGTAATTTCTTGTTCCAATTTTGTTGGATGGACAAGAATGTACATAAAACCTATTAGAAACGGCGAACTTCGTGTTGCCTTAATTAAATTTCTTCATTCGAAAAGCAATTTCACAAATATTCTTTTTCAAAAACAAGATTTTTCAATTTCCGAATTAATAGTAAAAATCAACACAGAAACATTTAAGAATCGTAATATCCGATTATATCGATAAATTCAGTCCACTTAACTCTTCTCTCGCACATCTTATTCTAAGTCGATTAATTAGTATAACCTCAATAATTGCAGGAAATGCAAAATGTAAACAACTTTATTTTTGTTTTTGATTTTTTTGTTCACCTAACAACCTACAGATGTTTGGACATCTCTGATTTGTAAACATTTATCGTTTATATGATAAACAAATGTTTGCAAAACATCAATTTTTTTCTATTTCCCTTCATGAAATTTCTATCGATATTCTCGGTCATTTTGTTTGCATCATTTTGTTGACTGCATCACTGTGGTGTGTGTGTGCCAAGTGCATGAATAAAATGTCAAAAACCATTTTTAAAACATGAGAAAACATTTTTAAATATTTACACATTCAAGTCCACCAAAAATTACACACCATGCCTTTAAGAAAACCCTACCCCTTTCCCAACACGTCCGTGGACAATATTTAGCGCGGTTAGTGAAAATTTCAAAATCGAAACAAATAATTTCTACAAGAAAGACAAAACTGACAATTAAGTTTTGGCAAACAAAAAGATTTTGTTTCATAAATGTAAACATAGACAACGGCATCAAAGAAGAGAGATGGAAAATGAAAGGAAACCACAAAACCGAATAAATAAAATTACAAAATTTATATTTGCAAAATGTTTGATATTGTTGGTCGCGGGTTTTCGTTCAAAATTTTCTCTTTCTATTTTATTTTTTGGCTATATACACATATACATACATATATCTATCTATATAGATCTTTCATTTTGTCGATATTTTATACAACTAACAATCATCGTCATTCATGTGTGTTTACATATACAAACGTACATATATAATTTGCTCTAAACTTTATATAAAACCAACAATAA